TCTCTTTTCTTTCCAGCATGGAATAAACTTTTACTTGTTCATTTGCAGCCTGTGCATGCTGACGCAGCTACTTACTTGAACAAGAGATTGTCCGATATTCTGGGTTGTCACATTTATGTGCCAATGATGTCCCAAGAAATACTGTTTTTAGCACTAAGAATTTCTAGTAATAACACTTGTAAATAACACTTCTTAAGTGTTAAATGTATTTTATGTATTAATTGTGTACTGTGTGTGACCGATGAGGAGAGAAGTCAAATTCTGTGCAGTGCTTTCCATCAGTATTACCTAAACGGGACTCTCAAGTGTACAGATCTGTTTTCTAACTGTAGTAACCCTGTGTTGTGGGCAGTAGATGTACTTGCTTTAATGGTGTAAGTAGAAAGTTTCCCCTCAATGGTGTGTGGGTATTTACAAATGCCATTTTGTATTCTTATAATAATTTTTAATTTTTATAATAGTTTCTTTGCTCCAGGTTATTGCCTGATGTGCCTGTGATATCTGAGTTAGCGTCAGTATTGTGTGAACAAGTGCTGAGATGTAAAATGGCCTTTGGAATACGGGAGTGAACTCAGTGTCACTTATGCTGACTATAGTGTCTGTGTCTCTATCTGTGTGTCTGTACTTGTGTCTCTGTGGGTGTGCGCTTCTCTCTGTGTCTCTGTGTCTGTCCTTGTGTCGCTGTGTGTGTGCGTCTCCATGTGTCTCTGTGTCTGTCCTTGCGTCACTGTGTGTATGTGTCTCTCTGTGTCTGTCCTTGCGTCACTGTGTGTGTGCGTCTCTCTGTGTCTGTCCTTGTGTCACTGTGTGTGTGCGTCTCTCTGTGTCTGTCCTTGTGTCTCTGTGGATGTGCACGTCTCTCTGTCTGTCCTTGTGTCTCTGTGGGTGTGCGCGTCTCTCTGTGTCTGTCCTTGTGTCTCTGTGGGTGTGCGCGTCTCTCTGTGTCTGTCCTTGTGTTTCTGTGGGTGTGCGCGTCTCTCTGTGTCTGTCCTTGTGTCTCTGTGGGTGTGCGCGTCTCTCTGTGTCTGTCCTTGTGTCTCTGTGGGTGTGTGCGTCTCTGTGTCTGTCCTTGTGTCTCTGTGGGTGTGCGCGTCTCTCTGTGTCTGTCCTTGTGTCTCTGTG